AAACCATGGCCACTGCAGCAAGGACTCATACATAGTACATATGGGGGTACATAGGGAGTCAGCTCTGCCAGATGAGCTATCAGGGTGACTCCTCCTCCAGTAATATTGATGTCATTTTTAATTCTTATTCCAGCTTTAACATCAATGAAGTGGTTAGATCCAGTTTCCTCCAACTACTTGTGTGGTGCATTTTCTTACATGGCTGATTTTTAACCTACATACTCATCTGCAATAACTCTGAAGACTGGTATGTCTACTATATTTACTGTACAACCTATTTATGGCTCTGCTGCCAAATATGACAACAATAGTATAACATTTGCTTATGATACCACAGTGATTGGACTCGGAAGTCACAATGATGAGAGGGCCTATAAAAGTGGAAGACCTAGCCCTATGGTGTCATTACAACAATCTCTCTTGTTGTCTGTAAGACAAAAGAAATCATAGCTGATTTGAAGAAGACCAGAGAGAATTGTACTCTTATTTCTATCAACAATCATCCGTTGAAATGTGTTGTTGGTTTAAAATTTCTGGGTGCACACATCACCGATAAACCCCCATGGTCCCTCAACAGCAACGGTGTTACATATGAATGCACTGGGTATATGCTCATGTGGGTTGTATGTTTTACTATTACGTAGGTTGTTGTGGGCCTTAAATGTTACAGTATGGTTTGTGTTTGTACACAAAGTGAGTGAGCTGGGGCACAAGCTTCTCACTATACTTGTACAAATGACATTAAACTTGAACTTCATCCATGTGGACTTATATCACAAAGCAGGATTTGTCAGAAGAAGAAAGTCCTAAAAGTGTGAATTTGTCTTTTTAAACAAGACAACAACTCTATCAAGAGCAGCTGAACTGTTTTCAGACATTTGTCTCTCAGAGATCTGAACATATAAGTTTTCTTTACACAGACTTTTGCTCCAGCCTGAAGATTACTGATCAGTCCAACCAGAAGATCGGCTGCACCATCTTCTGTGAGAAGCTGGAGGACCATCCAAAAATCTTTCAAATCGGAGACATTGTCCGCATGCACAGAGTCAAGGTCTTGTATTGCCAATTTAAGAATGTACATGTGATTTTGTAATATTAAAGAAGGCAGGAAGTTAAAAACTGAAACATAAAAAAACACCAGTATTGTTCTTGAACTGAGAATATGTAACTGAGATAAAGTACTGCTAGGTCAGAGATGATTCCATGTATCTCTACACAGACTCAGTTCTTCAATGACTCCATCACGCTGGTCAACACCTTCGGTTTCTCAGTGGTGACATTTGATGGGGTGGCGGGCAGCGCCATGGATCCACGGACCTCCAGCCGCTCCTTTCACTTCGACCAGGAGGACCGTCAGACCGTGGAGGAGCTGCGATCCTGGGCCGCCAGCCAGACTATCCTCCCTCCAGTTCTCTCATCCCCTCTTTCTGCTGTTCAGCCCAAAGCTTATTTCGACCTGACATGCCAGCTGCTGGCCAAAGCTCCCATCGACACCACCTGCACCCTGCTGAAGGTAAGAAAGTCACAGACATGGTGAACTACAGACTTGATTTCCTAACGATACATGGCATCACTCAGAGGCCAGCATGTTATCACTATGTAGCTACGTGTGTCAGACACTGCATTATGTATGTTTTTGTTTTTATTTAGTAGAATAAAATTGAACCAGAGTGAAGTAAAAAAAATAGAAAAATTTGGAACATGACTAAAGCACCAGATTTATTGTTCAGGAGAATTCCCTCTTACTGCTGTAATCCAGCACCATTAGAAAACGTACTACTTTTACAGCCTATTTTGCAAATGTGCAACCTTGTCTTCCTCCAGTGAAATTTTTGTTTAATTTAATTTTTTAAGATATTGCATGCAGATACAAAGAGTTTTTCACCAGAATCCAACCCTCTGCATGGAGTGGTAACCCCATTTTCATAGTTTTCATAGTGGAGGTACCCCAACTCACCTGGACAAAGAGCCACTGATGACAAAGGAAATCATTTACATTTTTATGAAATATATTATTATTAGGCCTATTTGTACTGACGGCTGTGGCTCAGGTGGTACAGTGGGTCGGTCACAAGTCTCTGGGTTGGCGGTTTGATCCCTGGCTCCTCCCGTCCACATGTCGAAGTGTCCCGAAGTTTCTCCCTATGGGCAGGCCAGCAAATTGCAAGGCAGCGTGGTCACCATCGTTGTGCGAATGTGTGTGAATGAGCAGCCAATTGTAAAGCGTTTTGTTCGTTAAGGTAGAAACAAGCTATATAAGTGAACTCCTTTTACCATCTATTATGCTTCAAAGAAAATGAGCAGATTACTGTACGTCACACGCCAAAGGCTATATATTGATCGATAATCATTCAGAAGCAAGCCTTTTGAGTTTGTACAGGTTGGGAAGTGTAGAAATAAATGGCTCAATCATGTAAAATTATAGTGCTTCTGTAGGGTTGATTTTGATTAAAACTAGGACCACCAGATTTGGGCCATTTGATTCTATCCTACTTCAAATGTGCTTATTGGATCCCTTATATCTGTCACTGTCATTTTCACGCATGTCCATTGGTGGGTTTTGTGGCACTTTCGAGCCTTTCTGGTTCTGAAAAGTGGTCGAGATTAACCAGGGGCGTCGGAAAAATCATCCTCACGTGTAACGTCCTTGTGGCTGCCGGCACCAGGCACTAAGTCACTAAGTCACTATTTGTGTATTTTACATTTAGGAATATATTCCTAAATGTAAAATACACAAATAGTTTTTTATAGTATAGTTTAATATATATTAATTCCAGGATTGAACCTATTTAACAGACGAATGATAATAAGCGGTATATCTGAGGCTGGAGTTTATCTTTTAATGTGAGTTTCTGCTAATAAACAGCAAAAAATCCCTGCAGTATGTGTTCACACTGCAGCACAGTCACCATGAAGCTTCCCTGGAGGCTGTTTACTGTTAGCTTATATGAATTTGTTCTTACCGTCTTGTTTTTATTACCCGCAGTCACCTGTTTTTTTTTCTTGTTGTTGATGTTAATGTGACTTGTTACTTTGTTAGGAAGCTGCGTTGCTGTCTTGCTTCCTCCTCGTTCCTCCATAACGGTTCCATTTAAAACTTCATCCTGCTTAAGCAGTTCATATTGTATTTTCCCCTTTGGAATAGTGGAGCTGTTTGCCTTCAGTCTTCATATGTCTTATAGTAAATCTACTTCACAGTCAGCTGGCCTCAATGGGAGGAGGTCTCATGTATTTTATCTTGGTCCTGAGCTGTTTTACCTGCCACCTCAGTTTTCAGAGCAGAAATGAGGCTGTAAGTGGCGGCTGGTTTCCTGCCAGAGAGGCTAATAGAGGAGATAAATTTGAGCAGGATTTGGCAGTGACTGCTGGTCTGCTGCCAGTCTGCTCTCACTGATTTCTGCTCTGAGCCTGCTGTTACACTACAACACATGCAACCAGGAGAGGATGTTTTCTGAATCATAAAAGGTTATTAGATGAAGAATAGATTTTTATACCTTTCCTCAAGCACCTGAGATCATTGTTTGTTCACACCGTAGTTTGGATTTAGCAGCCTTTAAACTTAAAGAATGAGTTTGTTGAGCTGTTTTAATAGTTATGAATATATCAATCGTCATTTTTTATTGAAGAACACAAACTTGCTGTGGTTCCAGCTTCTCCTACTGTACTGTGTTTGAGGATTTTCTGCTTTTCTCTGTTTCATGTCATTATAAAGTGATTATCTTTTTGGTTTTTGGACTGTTGGACGTTTGAGGATGTTGCCCTGGACTTAACAAACTTGTTTTTTTTACTCTCAGTAACATCATGTAGACTAAACAATTATCAACGAAATAATCTGCACATTAATAAATGATAAGAATAATTGGTCGTTGCAGCTCTTAAACAGTATTTAAACTGTACACTTTCTTTTCCAAATGGATGAAGGATATTTTCTCTCTTCCCTTTAGTGGTATTTATCCAGTTTTATTTGTCCAGGTTTTGAGTCTCTGGTATCTGCCTCCCCAATGGTACAATGGAAGTGAGTTAAATTATGGAGAAATAAGGTTAGCCGTTGTGATATGTATTCTGAGACAATATAAATTTGTCAAACAAAACATTTTCCCATAGCATTTATACGGTGGTAGCTTTTCTTTTAGTAGCTCTTGGTGCAGTGGACAAATCAGTGACCCGGCTATTTTATGTGATTTCTCTCCTCTGGTCGCAAGATATGGATTTTTTTTTAGCCAATACGATAACCGATAATTCTGATGCTTCAAATATTCCTTTATTTTTTATATCTTAAGTTAATCAAAACATTTCACAAACATACTTTGGCTTTCATAGATGTTTTGCATAAGAATTAAAAATAAATTATTATTATTATGGACCGATAATTTATCAGCCGCAATTTAATTATCCCAATAATTCTTAATAATATACATTTCCCATTATCGACCGATAATATATCAGCCCCAAAGATTATCGTGCATCTCTACTCTCTCCCTCTTTATCTCTCAGCCTGGTTGTTTTATCAACAAACAGTTTCAGAGGTCCCTACTTAGACTCACTACTTCTAAATAAAAGACTTTATACCGAGCTGGTCTCACAGTTTAGTGTTTGTTTGATGGTTGATATTTTCGGATTAGGTGTGGATGATATGGAATATATGTTTTATAATAACATTGATACAAGGACTTTTATGTAGTTGTAGGAGCCATGAATAAATATGGAATACAATTTAAAGGGGAACTTGGCAACTTTTTCAGCTTAATAAACCCGTTTAGAAATCATTTGGATGGTTAAATGGCCTGTTCCGGTGAAAATGGTGACCCTCCCACCCCCCTC